CTTTCCCAGCCTTTTGTTTTTTTCAAGGGGAAGCCCCACTCGAGCTCTGCTTTTAGGTGGAGATCCCATTTCTGTCTCCCTACCATATTTGTTGTTATTGTTCAGACGCCAAGTCATGTTCAACTCTTTGCAACCCCGTGGACTGCATGACTGCAGCATGCCAGGCTTCTCTGTCCTTCACCATCTCCTGGAGCTTGCTCAAACTCAGGTCCATGATGTCAGCGATGCCATCCAACCATCTCATCCTCTGTCGCCCCCTTCTCTTCTCCTCCTGCCCTCAATCTCTGCCAGCATCAGGGTCTTTTCCAGTGAGTTGGCTCTTCGCACCAGGTGGCCAAAGTATCAGAGCTTCAGCTTCAGCATCTGACACAGACTACATTTTGCCTATATGATGTGNTGGCCACCTGATGTGAAGATCTGACTCATTAGAAAAGACCCTGATGCTGGGAGAGATTGAAGGCAGGAGGACAGGGGATGAGATGGTTGGATGGCGTCACCAACTCAACGGACATGAGTTTGAGCTAACTTGGGGAGATGGTGAAGGACAGGGAAGACTGGCATGCTGCAGTCCATGGAATCAGAAAGAGTTGGACACAACTGACTGACTGAACAGCAACAAATACCTATAACTGGTTTACTTTGGGACTGAAAAGTATCACAACATTGTAAATCAACTATAATCAAATAAAAATTTTCTAAAAAATTAAAATTGTGAATCACTATGTTATATACCTTTAACTTATATAATACTGTATAGCAACTCCAATTTCAATAAAAGTGCCAAGAAAACCAAAAACATAATATTTATTACTGTTGTGCTCTGTGATGTCTTTAGCTATAACATATTCACATCAAGTTTGCAGGTCACAGACATCACCCAATCATGGGTGCAGGAGAAGGCTCGCGTCCACCATACATAACCTGGATGCCTTGAGCTGGCGAGCAACAGACAGGAACGTCAGTGTTCTTTGCCACCCACATTTTTCCCACCAGAACTTTTAATAAGTACAAAATACATTGACTTGCATTTCATCTCCCTTCATTTTTCTTCATTTGCATGTATCAACCAGAAGCAGGCAGCAGGAAAATTCAAATGTTTGGACCAGTTACAGACTGGATAATCAGTTCTTAAATGTGCAACCTACTTGTTTTTCACAGAATTTTTAAGTGGTGATGGAGCCTGTGTTTCTGGGGGAAAATAATATAAGGAAATTAGAAGTGTAATATAGTGATCTATTATAGTCAAAGAATTCTGAACCAGCCAATCAGAACCTAGCGCACTTTTGCAAATTCCAAGGGACAAAGGCAAACAGCTTTCATATGGACTTTAAATAGGGTTTTGCAATCTACAATTTATTGCTGTACTCTGGCTTTTAATACTTTTTTTTATTAATGTTCCATTTTTCTCCTGGTACAGGAACTTCACTCATCATTCTTAATGTTTCTGCATTACTTGGAACTGTCAGCAGTCATTTCCTTGTGGCTAGAGGCACAGATAGCGTCAGCCTTCTTCAGAGGGTGGCCAGGTCCTACCTCACCCCTCTGCTGGGGAAAGGGCCGAGGGAAGATCCGCTGGGAGACGGCGAGAGGCTGAGCGCCCAGCAGCAGCTAAGAATGGCAGCGTTTGGGGAAGAAATGAGCTCACAGCAGCCCTTCTAGTGGCAGCTATCAGCAAGATGTTTGTGGCGTGGGGCCCTACTGAATGTTTCTGGTTAAATGACTCCAGTGCCTTCAGATGCTGCTGCTTTGGAAATATTGCACAGAATATTCAAGCAGTTAATTTTTATTCACGTTCACCCAACGAATGTATTTATTGAGCACCCACTCTCGGCTGGAGACTTTTATGTTCACGACTTCCCATGATCTCTCCTGGAGACTGTAAGGAAACAGGCGGGGTTGGAACTGGCACGTGGAGAGATGGGGTGAGGAGCAGGGGCAGATGATGAGAGCTATGATTCCTGTAAAGTCAGGTCAGCGTGAGCACAGCCCTAAAGGGACAGTCACAGAGGGCATGCGTGGGTGGGCTTGCTATCCTTCTGTGTTACCTTGAGGTCAAGGTTGATTTTCAGTGGACGAGGGCACAGCTCTGTCACCTGTCCAGGAGAGGAAACACCTCACACAGGCTCTAGAGGAGCCTCAAGCCTGCAAATCTGAGCCAAGTCATTCTTGCCTCGTTCTCCCCCGAAGGAGGATTCCAGGCACCCCCCTCATTCCTATTCTCCCAACCTATGAAGCCATCTAACCCAGCTGGTCCAAATGTAAACCCCCAAACTTCAAGCAAGGGATGGAGGGAAGCAGCAGCCCTCAGCCAAGCGGGCCCACCGCCTGGCAGCATCAGCAGCTCCGAGGAGCTTATTAGAGAGAGAAGTTCAGAGCCCACCGCGGTCTTCTGTGTCAGAATCTGCATTCTAACAAAATCCCCCAGTGAGTCCTGTACAGAGTCGGGGTCTGAGAAGCACTGACCCGGGGCACTTCTCTGAGTAGGGAGGGCTTCCCCACTGGCTCAGCCGGAAGGAATCTGCCTGCCACGCAGGAGATGCGGCTTCAGCCTCTGGGTCGGGCAGATCCCCTGGAGGTGGAAATGGCAACCCACCCCAGTACTCTAGTCTGGAGAATCCCATGGACAGAGGAGCCTGGTGGGCTACATTCCAAGGGGCTGCCAAGAGTCAGACATGACTGAGCACACAATACAATCGCCTCAAAAAGGCCAAACAAGATCAGGTTTTCTAATGAGCCACAACAGCGCTATTTAGCACTGGCTGAGCCACATTCGAGTCTTAGATGTCTTTGCGAAGTTTATTTCAGATCACCATGTTCAGGATTGCCAAAAAGCTTAGCCACATTAAGGAGCTTTTTGTTTTTAAAAGTATTTATTTGGCTGCTTGAGCCACAACAGTGCTATTTAGCACTGGCTGAGCCACATTTGAGTCTTAGATGTCTTTGCGAAGTTTATTTCAGATCACCATGTTCAGGATTGCCAAAAAGCTTAGCCACATTAAGGAGCTTTTTGTTTTTAAAAGTATTTATTTGGCTGCAGCGGGTCTGAGTTGCAGCACGTGGGATCTAATTCCCTGACCAGGGATCGAACGGGGAGCGGGGAGCCTTAGCCACTGGACCACCAGGGAAGTTCCTGAAGAGCTCCTTAAAGTTTATATTAACCAACCATAGAAATGCCGGAAGATGCTAAAGTAATAGAGTTTGACTCAACATTTAAAAATTCTACTTTTAGTTCAGGGGGAAAACAAATCTATTTTTCTTTAAAAACTGAGTTTATTAAAAGGGCACAAGACAAAAATGTTTTTAGGAAGTATCCTGTAAATTTTTTTTTTTCTTTCACTTTGCCGATGTCAACTGGAAGAGGCCATTATTGTTGCAATAACCTATTTCAGCAGAGATAAAAGACTAAAGGGCAGGCTGCCCCCGCCCCCCGACAGATCACTCCTGCTGGTCGTCACCAACTCAGAGCTCAGTCAAGGCACAGGTTACACCAAAGAGGAAAACACAGGTGACTGTGGGTGACGTTTACTGAATGCAAACGGATACTCGGGTAGCATCAGGCTAAGAAGTCATCTACCGATTTCTGGGGACATGCAGGGTGCTGAGGAAGGGTGTGCACAAGCCCACAGGTGCTTAAGTGACCCGGTGAGGGTGGGGGGTTAATTGCAACTCCATGGACTGTTGCCTGCCAGGCTCCTCTGTCCATGCAATGTCCAGGCAAGAATACTGAAGCAGGTTGCCATTTCCATCTCCATAAAGTGACCTGTAGGGATTCCAAATCCTTAGATCCGAACTGGACAAACCTAAAAGAATGAGGCAGATTTGTAAGTGCTGACCGCATAGGATGTAAACATCAGATCGTTCGGCAAAATGGGAGTATTTTGGCAAAACTGAAGAGTGCCTGGAAACCTCACTGGTGTCCTCGTCCCTTCCAGTCCCCTGACGCTTGGCAGTGTGGTCCAGGCACCAGCAACGCCCGTGTGCCCTGGGAGTGCTGTCTCAGGCCCCCTTCCCCCGGACCTCCCGAATTGGAATCCTCGTCTACCGGGGGCCAGGGCTCTGCACTTGCTGGACGGCTCTTCCCCAAGACGTCCGTGCCTCACTGCCTCGCAGTTCTTTAAACTCTGCTCACCATCCCCTGCTCGGAGGTCTTCCCTGACCGTGTGGAAATCACCATCCACCCACACCCCCGCTTCACCTTCCCACAGAAGCTGGCCCTCCTGAAGCCCGTTTACCACCCATTCCTCCCGCTGGATTGTAACCTTCTTCCAAGCCGGGACTGAGCAGCCCCAGGACCTGAGGCGGCGGCCGGGATATTAGGGTCTGATCAACATTTTAATGAGGGACTATTTTACCCGCAGGACTAAACTATAACCCTGGGAAACAGAAAAGAGAGGCTGAAGGGAAGAGGGACCCGGCCCTTCTACCCTTCTGTGCTTTCTGCAGTTTATCAGAGGAGGACACATTGTTGCAAACTCTTATTAAATAATTCATCCAACTATCTCAAGATACACCAAACCACAAGAACAAAGCAGATTACACTTTTCCTTCCAAAAAGATTTCATAGGCTTTATTCATTTATCAGACTACACTTCTATAAATAAGAAATCATTTCCTTTTGAGGGCCTGTTTGTTCTCCCCAGAAAAAGTAATTGAAGAATTTTATTTTTTTAAAAAATGATTTTTATTGCAGTATAATTGCTTTACAATGTTGTGTTAGCTTCTAGTGTAAAACAAAATGCATCAGCTATACACGCACATACATCCCCTCCCTTTTGGGTTTCTCTCCCGCTGAGGACACTACAGTAGAGAATTGTATTTGTAAAACCCAGATGTGACGACTATGCCACGTCTGGACTACGCGCTGTCCTCCCAGCCAGCCAGGCCCAGAGGCGGCCTGCCTGCTTCCTGAAGCGCTGCAGGGCCTCAAGCTCGGCTCAGCCCGATTATCGTGAGCGGAAGAGGGATGGAACACATGCAAATCAGAGTCCACCAGAGAAAGCAATCTTTACTGATGAATCATTTATTCGAACAAGACAAAACGTCTCCACATTGTTTCCTTTTATACAGAAAGTCGAACATTTCAAATATATTAACTTTTCTCTTCAACAAAATTTCTTTCAATCTGGTCCCAGGAACTGCTTTGCACTTCAGGATTCACGTTTCAACAACACATATGCACCCATTACAGCCAAAAGAGCATACTGTAAGGAAAACACAGAGGAAAATGCGTAAACACAGGTCTACGGATGCATTTGGTCTGTGGATGTATTCAGATACAGGCTGGTCAGTGCTGGACCAGGACAGAATCAAAGGACGACCTCTTTCCTGTGCTCTGCCTCCAAGTGAGCTGTCAGTAACACATGACAATTCAAACCGCTCACACACTGATGGACCAAGGGTCACACGCCCAACAAACACAGCTAATGCACTGCTCATTCCTGCAGAGGCTTCCTATTGTGCTTCAAGAGATTAAAAAAAATATGTATGGATATTATTCTTGTTGAAGTTGGGAAATAAGCATTACTAGGCTTACTGAACTACTTTTTCCCTATGTTTAAAGATGTGCATAATAAGAAGCAAAAAAATATATAGGTACCATTTTGGAAAACACCATATAAACATAAAAGGCAGAAGTAGCCACTTTCAGTAATTTAAAATTCACAATTTAAATGGTTAATTTGTAGTTAACAGCACATACTCTGCAGAAGAATTAGCCAAAAACAGCAAAACATTTTAAACAGACTGCCTCTCTACAGTTGCACATGTAAAAGCGCCAATATTTTTCTTTAAAAATACAGACACACAAATAAATTCCTACCTTAAATTTTGGATAGTCGTTCATTATTATGGTGACCATACCGACATATGGTAAAAACCTAAATTGTGGGATAAACAGCCAGAAATGTAAAAAGTGTTTGTAATATAATAGTAATACTTAAAAACACTATAAATCAGCATTAGGGCAAAGCCTTCCTTGGGAATACCACTGACTGGGGCCACAAAAACAACATAATGCTGCTGTCTCAAAAGGCTTTATCAGTAACAAGAAGCAGAGCCAACAGCCAGGACGATTTTTTAAGAAGGCAAATCAGGAGCTGGAGACGCTAGTTGTCTTCTCTTGTGGCATTCTGCTGTAACAGCATGAAAATAGGTGAGCCCCTTTTACAATGGAGTCGGCAACTTTCACAAAGCGAGTTCTTAATTTTTCTTAGTAGAGAAGTAAGATTCAGACAACCTATATGTAAACTGCTGTGAGAGAGACTTTTGAAAGCATAAGAATAACTGGTTTGTAACTGAAGGAATCCTCATCATTTTCATTGTGTGTGCTTACTCGCTCAGTTGTGTCCAACTCTGCGACCCCATGGACTGTAGCCTGCCAGGCTCCTCTGTCCTTGGGGATTCTCCAGGACAGAATACTGGAGTGGGTAGCCTCTCCCTTCTCCAGGGGATCTTCCCAACCCAGGGATCGAACCCAGGTCTCCCACACTGCAGGCAGTTTCTTTACCATCTGAGCCACCAGGGAAGTCCAAGAATACTGGAGTGGGTAGCCTCTCCCTTCTCCAGGGGATCTTCCCAACCCAGGGATCGAACCCAGGTCTCCCACACTGCAGGCAGTTTCTTTACCATCTGAGCCACCAGGGAAGTCCAAGAATACTGGAGTGAGTAGCCTATCCCTTCTCCAGGGGATCTTCCCAACCCAGGGATCGAACCCAGGTCTCCCACACTGCAGGCAGTTTCTTTACCATCTGAGCCACCAGGGAAGTCGCATCATTTTCACTGCACAGCACTTTTCAGATGCAACAAAGACGTTGGTTGGGCAGTGAATGCAAATGTGGAAAGCATCATTTATACCCAAACATGATTATGATCCCAGAGATAATAAGCCAGTAGAAACCAGCCAATGAATGATGTTGCTGACAAAATTAATTTCAACACAGAATCAGTCTGACCCAAGACTCCATCATGTCACTGATGATAAACAAGGGAACATCTCCTCGGTACCCTCCAGTCTGCTTTAAATGCAACAGCTCCAACCTCTCACTTCTACAAAGCCTCTCACCAAAGTGTCTAAAAACACAGGACTGAGCAGCCGCAGGTCTCCCTCACCTTCCTGCAGATATTCAGGAGGAAACGCAATAGAGTGAAAGCGATTAAAACGTGAGCAGAGGGAGAGCAGGGGCAGGAAGAGGCCTCCAACTGTAAGCTGATGAGTAAAGCTGTATCTGAGAAAACAGTCACCCATGTTCTCCAGCCTTATACAGCCAGTGGGATTTCGATGAAAGGGGACATCTCTAGCAAGGGTTAATCAGAAAAAGGGCCACCGAGAGAGGGGAAGAATCACCTTTTTTGGTATTTAATAAGAGGAGAGGCTCTGCTGTGTCAATCAGAAGCAGAACTCATGGCTGGAACAATGATGCAAAGACGGGTATGAAAAAAAAATGATCACAGAACTTTTCTTAGTAGTGAAAAACCAGGAAACAATCTAAATATCCATCAAAAGAGGACTAGTGAGATAAGTTACAATTGTCAGAGGAACAGCATGCAGCTGTTTAAAAGGATATAGCTATAGATTTGGCATAGAAAGTTACTTCCAACTTCCTGCTGGGTGAAAAAAATAAAACTCCTTTACATAAAATTATATACTATGTATGCACACACACATCTATATAGGCACAAGGAATATCTAGAATATTCACCACAGTGTTAAACAGTAGTTATTTCTGAAAGGATTATTTCTAATTATTTAAAATTTATAAATAACCAATCTCCAGGTGAGGATTTATTTCCAAAATAGAATTGAATCCATGATATAGATAGAATACTGGCATTCGGCTTTAGATTTCAGGTCCTTGGGCAGTTCTGAGCTTCATTTACTCCTCACAAGGTAAGGAAGAACTGCTTACAACTCTCCTGACATATCATCTCCGGAATGAACGATTCCATTACCCTCTACACTTGACTTCTTTGTTTCTGATATTTTTCTGGTTTCTGCATATTCTATGGAACTTAAAGAAAACTCACCCACGGGCGCGCCCCACCACGTCCTTCTTCTCGAGCCAGTTCTGGCCTTCTTTGTACAAGCCTCTATCATCAACTTCATTATTATCTCCTTTAGTCAGAAATTTGATATCTCCATTGTCTCTGGAAAGCAAAACAAGGTCCTTTCAAAGATAATTTTCAGTGCAGCATCATTAGAAAAGTGTCAGTTTGGCCTACACTTTACAGGCAAGGGTGGGCATTGAGAAAAGCAGTCAAACGTGACTTGATCTTTTTCGCCTTAAGACGCCTGCTGGCAGACAACCATTCAACTCAAGCACAGATCTAGTGACAATTTTGTAGACTTAAATTCAAAAACACTGATGTTCCCCTGTTGACCAAAAAGCATGGCATAGCGCAGGGTACCAGGAAGGCCACGACTAGCTCCAGCATCTATTTCCATCCATTCTCTGTCCTCATGGACCAACAGGTTAACATTTTAAAATTTATAAATAACCAATCTCCAGGTGAGGATTTATTTCCAAAATAGAATTGAATCCATGATATAGATAGAATACTGGCATTCGGCTTTAGATTTCAGGTCCTTGGGCAGTTCTGAGCTTCGTTTACTCCTCACAAGGTAAGGAAGAACTGCTTACAACTCTCCTGACATATCATCTCCGGAATGAATGATTCCATTACCCTCTACACTTGACTTCTTTGTTTCTGATATTTTTCTGGTTTCTGCATATTCTATGGAACTTAAAGAAAACTCACCCACGGGCGCGCCCCACCACGTCCTTCTTCTCGAGCCAGTTCTGGCCTTCTTTGTACAAGCCTCTATCATCAACTTCATTATTATCTCCTTTAGTCAGAAATTTGATATCTCCATTGTCTCTGGAAAGCAAAACAAGGTCCTTTCAAAGATAATTTTCAGTGCAGCATCGTTAGAAAAGTGTCAGTTTGGCCTACACTTTACAGGCAAGGGTGGGCATTGAGAAAAGCAGTCAAACGTGACTTGATCTTTTTTGCCTTAAGACGCCTGCTGGCAGACAACCATTCAACTCAAGCACAGATCTAGTGACAATTTTGTAGACTTAAATTCAAAAACACTGATGTTCCCCTGTTGACCAAAAAGCATGGCATAGCGCAGGGTACCAGGAAGGCCACGACTAGCTCCAGCATCTATTTCCATCCATTCTCTGTCCTCATGGACCAACAGGTTAACACGGATTATATTCCTCTTGACTCTAGACGTGAACTGAGTACTAGATTACACAGATCTGAACATAAGGTAATTCAAACACAAGTGTTCTCTTAGCTCTTCTCAAACTTTCTCTTCCTTACCAAACGTGGGATGTGTGAATGCCTTATTTCCTTCACCACTGAGCCAAGTGGCATACCATCCAGTTTGCAAACAAACAGGAATTATGAATGGCATGAAACTGCTGTGTTAGAGACAGGTGGGAACTGTTTTAAACATTGTAAACTGGGGCTTACACAGCCCTGACACCAGAAACACAATACTACAGCCTTATAGAACTATTAAGAGGGTCTATTTTTCAGTAAGACAAATGACAAAATGTGTTAAATAATTTGATAAAATATTAAAAGTCCACAAAGATTTGAAACTGTACCAAAGGGAGTTAGCTGATCTGCAGCCATGGTTATACAAGAAATTAAGAGGGAAAAAATCTGGACTGTCACTCACAATTCATGTAAGTTACAGAAAAGTATCATTATTTCCCAGTTTTGAGCAATTTCTCATCTTTGGATATTGTTTTAAAATCAGGTACGAGTTCTATCACAGTTGTGACAGAGCGTATTTCTTCATCTGTAAGTTATCAAGCACTATGAATAAGGTAATGCTAGTTGTAGTCCCAGTGTATTAACACAAACTGAAGCAGGGTCATGCTAATATTTAGAGTCAAATAAAGTGGATATTTTAAGTATCAAACATCTTTGGGGAACACCTGGAAATACTGAATGGAATGAGAATCTCTTATCAGAAATAGATTCACACACACACACACGCAATAACAGAGCAATGCTCCATTATTTAAAAAATACAAATACACATACCTAATTTTAATTCTACAACTCATGCAAGTAAAAGGCTGAACTAAGATGCATAAAGGTAAATGAATAGCCAAATAAATAAAACGTACCATTTTCACTAATCACTTGACTGTACTCTCTCAGGGAAACAATATATTTGAGCTAGAAACAATTGCTTCTGGTCCCCAAGTAGTGTATTACCAAGTGATTACCAAGTCATCACTGATGTTTAAGGGAAAGGCAAAGCTGTTTGTGGGGGGGAGTGGGGGTGGGATTAATGCTGGATATGCCGCAATCAAATCATGGGATGGGCTGGGGAAAGGAATTTTTATTCATCCAAGGCTAATATTACTGCTGAGAATGCCAGCTGGTCCATAGTGACAAAGAGAAACAGGTAGCTTTCTGCATTTCAGGAGATAATTCTCTCACCAAAATGATCCTCAGCTACCATGAGATTTGATTTTCTTTTGAGACTCCTTCAAATAATTAATATTACGCAAGAATACATTCCACCTTACCTTGTACAGCAAGTCTGTCAAGTGCTTTAGTAAACATCAGTTCATTTCATCCTCACACTCGCCCTGGGGGTTACTGTGGGTAAAGTACTGACATTCACATATCACCGCCTGAGTTAAGCCACAGGTCCAAAGTCACCCCAATCACTAAATGGCAAACCTAGGAATGTAATCCAGTGCTTTTGCTACTTTCTAATCCACCATTAAAGCTGTCCACAGTCTTGTCTACAAAATAAAATCAGAGAGAAGTAAAGGCTCTTTACTTTTCGTGAACTTTGATTACTCTGTGAACTATTGGGATGTCTCGTCCTTCGACTTTGAAAACAACGATTTCTCCAGCTCTAATGGGGTCTTCCCGGAAATTCGTTAGGAACAGAAGGTCGCCCCTGTGAAAGGCTGGCTCCATGCTGCCGCTGGAAAGAAGCACAAAGTCACGTCAGAAGTGCCCTGGGCTCACCAGGCAAACGTTTCAAACCACAAAGGATATTAACAAACATACCACTTGGAATGTCAGCTTTTGTCTACCGTCAAGCAGATCTATGAGCAATAAAACAAGCTAGAGATTCCCATCTACCTGCTCAAGGGAACAACGGTGAGAAAGAGAGTGATTTCTTCTTGGATTTGAGCATGAAAAGGCACTAGTGGCCGCTCGATGATTTGTATTAGGTGGAAAAAGAACCAAGAATAAGCTGGACTCCTTGAAGTAAAAATCCATTTTTAGCCTTATAAGGGTTTTACATCTATCAATACAAATACTACTTTTCATTCAGAACTACGACTCTGAAAGCTGGTTAATACTCTAGGGTAATTCTTGCACTCTGTTGTATGTATGTAATTTAGTGGAAGCTGAAATCATCGAAACAGAATTCATTTCATATGTGCTCCTGCTTTGTTTTAATCCATGAGAAAATAAATAAGACCTAAATACAGGGCTCTGACAACCAACGATGAGTTAGTCTGTCAAGGGCAGGAAGGGGGAGAAACAACCTGTCTAATGAAGAGATGGGGAGCTTTACAGGAAGATGTGGGTTCACAACAGAACCATTCCAAATGTTGGTCCTCCTGTTCCTCCAGGGCTGCTGACCTTCAGCTTGTCAGCACAGGAGGAGGGGAGCCAGGGGGCAAGTGGCCAAGCCTGGCCTGCAACTACCGAGAGGTGTATTTTATTGCCTTGCCATGAGGCTTGTGGGATTTCAGTTCCCTGATCAGGGACTGAACCTGTGCCCTTGACAATGAAAGCTTGAAGTCCTAACCACTGAACCGCCAGGGAATTGCCAAGAGGTTTATTTTTAAGTGAAACCTTTCCCACTAAGTCTGGTAATAGATTCAGCAATCAAAAATAGAAAATGTGAATTTAAAAGGTAGAAACAGCTAGAAATATAAATGACTAAGGGGAAAAGAAAGAGAAGATATCTAAGTAAAAACAAATTTGTTCTTCCTCCAGCGTAGAACACTTGATGGGCATGAGTTTGAGCAAGCTCCGGGAGTTAGTGCTGGGGAGGCCCGGCATGCTGCAGTCCATGGGGTTGCAGAGAGTCGGACACAACTGAGCGACTGAGCTGACAGCCTGACTGACAACACAAAGTTATTTGTCCCCCCAACACAGAAATTCATTTTGTCATCGTCTGAAAATACAACATAACTGCTTCAGGGGTTCATTTTCTTTTAAAGAATGACAGTTAAAATGCTTAGGATAATTGCTTAATCTACTGCTTCATCTTTACTTCAACAAAATTCCTGAAGACATGCAGGGGGAAGAGAACCATCTCAGTCTGTGATAACATGGACCTCGTTGTTTTGTTTGTTTAAAAACAACTCCCTGAACAAGTCTTAGAGGTAGAAAGTGCGCACTGCACTTTGGCATAGAGTCATTATCATGCCCCATTAGGATAGCAGTTCTCTGAAATGTTTAAATTACATTTAAACAACTAATAACAACTTACACTTGCCTTCCTTAACGGGCCAGGGAGTTCCCCAAAGTCACACATCCCTTGTGACGTCAACAGCTTATGCTGACCAACCAAACTGCTTTAGAATTGTAAAGTGAAAGTGAAGTCGCTCAGTCATGTCCGACTGTTTGCGGCGACCCCATGGACTAATGTAGCCCACCAGGCTCCTCCGTCCATGGGATTCTCCAGGCAAGAATACTGGAGTGGGTTGCCATTTCCTTCTCCAGGGGATCTTCCCAACCCAGTGATCGAACCCAGGTCTCCTGCATTGCAGGCAGACACTTTAACCTCTGAGCCACCAGGAATCTAGAATTGTAAAGAATGCTTTAAAAGAAGAAAAAGTCCCCAGGTGCTGCAACTTCACAATTATCTCTGCGTGCAAGTGTGCCTGTGGATTGAAGAAGAGCCCGAGCACCCCGGATGGAGTTCTGGCTCTGCAGAAGTAACTGTGAGAGGGAAGCAACGTGGCCTCACTAGACCTCGGCTATCTTATCTGATGAATGACAAGGGCCCATCTGAATTTGAGGGGTTCAATTTCTTCTTTTTTTTCCCCCAAAGCCTTAAAATCCTTCTTTCAAAGGAAATCTTACCAGGTAAAGTATAATCACATAAAATGCGTAAAAGTGGAGCTGTCACAACTGAAGCCAGGCTCAGGGGCCCATGAGCTTGGCCACCTCCTCTCCTAACTCATCGCCTGGCCCTTCAGGCGCTCCTGGAGCAGGGTGTGCACACCAGTGAGTCAGAGCCCCCTCAGCTCTGTCTGTGACTTACGCCATCCTCAGGCTCCTAAGTTTACGAGAATGCTGGATCTCTACAAGTGGGTCCCTTGGCCAGTCACGAAGGGCGGCCTGGTGAAGCCAGGGCCGGAGCTGCCCCCATCACGTGGTGCAGGGCCCAGAGGGACAGGGAGCCAGGAGCCCTGCTGCTTCTCCTGCCCTGGTCGGCTCTGACCTTGCCCACAGCACTGCCACAGCCTCCCTCTCCCCCTGGAGAGCAAAGGGGCTCCACGCCCACCTTAGGGAGACTCAACTATCTGAGGCATATTAGCATCTTCAAGCACTTGAAAGTGAAGGTGATAGTTGCTCAGCCATGTCTGACTTTTCACAAGTCCATGGGCTATAGCCCGCCAGGCTCCTCGGTCCATGGAATTCTCCAGGCAAGAATACTGGAGTGGGTTTGTCATTCCTTTCTCCTAGGCTTCTTTCCGACCCAGGGATCGAACTCGGGTCTCCTGCATGGCAGGCAGATTCTTTACCCTCTGAGCCGGCAGGGAAGCACAAAACATTAAAAGATGGAAGCAAAGCATATTACCCTGGAGTGTGAGATCAACATGATGAAATGCCTCAACTGTCTACTGAAAAACATTTTTCAACAAAAGCCAGAAAAAAAAAATGAAACCTTTTCAAAACAAGTATCAACAAAGAACACTCTAAAGCTTATCCAACTGAGACACTGAGTTTGGGGTGCCCACGCAGCTCCTGGGCGCCCGACAGCAGCTGGATTGACCCAGGGGTCGAACCCGGGTCTCCTGGACTGCAGGCAGGTTCTTTACCATCTGAGCCACCAGGGAAGCCCCTCTGACCATGGAATGCCCACATATCTTTTCTCCTTCAATAAAAGAAAAGGAGAAGGAGGGAGCCAGAGTCACCTGTGGGACCTGCTTTGTTAACACCTGGGTACAACTTTCCTGACCTCTTCAGAATCCCCCATAGCCTCCAACCCTGAGGGGCCCCACCTCTCAAGTGCTAGGGCTCTGCCTCCCATCCCAGCACAGAGGGCAGAGGTCTCACCCGAGAGCCTGGTCCACGTGGCGCGCTTCACCTGGGCCCCAAATGAGGGTGCAAAGTCCTAGTCCTACAGCACTCTGTTCTACACAAGGTCATTCTGCCTTGGGAATTACAACGAAACAGTCAACAGAAACTGTAAATGCCTGTTTATAGAGTTTTCGCAAATATTCTAAATGACGAGCATCAACTATTCCCTTAAGAACACGGGGAGTGGGGGAGGTGAGAGGGCGGTTCAAGGAGGGGACCTTGGTATACTTATGGCTGGTGCATGCTGGTGTACAGCAGAAACCAATACAATGCGGCAAAGCGATTATCCTTCAATTAGAAATCAGTAAGTTAAAGAAAAAGGGACACAGTGGGAAGGCCACCCGAGTCAGCGCCTGGCTCTAACTAGATGCCCTCACTCCAGCTGAGACCAGGGGGCCCAGGTCCACAGCGCGGCNAGTAAGTTAAAGAAAAAGGGACACAGTGGGAAGGCCACCCGAGTCAGCGCCTGGCTCTAACTAGATGCCCTCACTCCAGCTGAGACCAGGGGGCCCAGGTCCACAGCGCGGCACACCCCCACCGTCCTCCAGGACGGCTCCTGACTGGGGCCTGCAGAACAAAGAAAGAATTTTAATGGCAGGACCAAATACGCGAAGTCACACAGAGTGAAAAATGCAGGCTGAAGTAGGATCTCCACAAACCACAGAACAGTTTCTAAAGCAAACACAAGGAGATCCTCTGAGATGCTAAGAGAGGCTATCTTAGCATGGTGGAATCATGAGTGATTGGATTGTCTTCTTTAAGCTACTTTACTTTTGATTCTTTAAAATTCTTATCATGAGTGTATATTAATTTCAAAATCTGAGAGGGATGGGACGTATTTAAAGGAAGGGCAATTTGACATTAAAGTACACTAAAATAATTATTGTATTATTTACTAGTGCATTAAAATAATCATTTTGAAGACTGTGACAAAACATGAAGACATATTCTGATACGACAGGAAAGAAGGAAAAGCAAAGTCTATTGCTAAAATTGCAACTGTGTGAAAGTATGTACTTTGAGGTAATTGTGAAGGTTACAGAAGTGGGGACAAAAGATGAATTAAAATAACTAACATATTTTGATGTAGTCAGTGAAAACAGGAAAATAAAATTAAAGTTACATACCATTTTTTAAAACTCTTTGGCAAAAGTGTCAATAGCAAATTATGAAACTAAATTCCCAGGTGAACAAAAAAGGAAACTGGAGTGCTGAATGGATATTAAGTGTTGGGCTATAAGATATTAAACCGTTGCTTCTCAAGTAAAATCAACTTTTTGAGTCACATCAGTCTAAAGCAGAAGTTATTCACTGGAGCTCACATTCAAAAACTTGGCCACCTGCTCCGCTTGACTTACCTGATTTAATAAACAACCACTGTTTCATTATGAATTGCCGCTCTGATTAGGAAAGGCCCAAGTTATGGTTTTCTACAGAGATGTCCAATTTTATACAGGTTTTCAAACCACTGGATTCCACTCTAATCAAACAAATTATACAATCTTGCCACTTACCTAATAAAGACTATGTACTAAGAATATATTTTCCAGTATGATTTCTATGCTTGAAAAATTCATTGAGGGGAAGTAAAACCAATTCCTCAAAATAAAAAAAAAATTTCCTTTGAGCAAGACATCTATTTGCTAAAGATAGTCAATTATGTAGAAGTCTAACAAACTAACTAATCTAATCAAGTTAATTTCAAAACCACAGATCACCCTTCTAACAATCCACCTTTAAGTGATCTACTATCTAAGTCTAGGATTGAAACCCTGGCATCTAGAAACAGTCATTTTGATGGAACTGACAAGCTGATTGGAAATACACACCCCACATTACACTGGTGCCTTTTCTTGTTCATCTTTGCCTACCAATTCTGTATGTTTGGCACTTAATCACCCCAGCAGAGTTTAGAAGCAAGCCCACACTCAGTCTTTGGCAAGCAAATATGAAATAACCAACATCTCAGCGTTTTAAACAAACATTTCAGACCAGAGATTGTGACTGGCAGGGCAGCAGAAATGCCAGTGGCTGTTTTTCTTCCTCTCTTCCTCACTGCAGAAACAAAGAGTCCTTGTTTTTGCATGTGGCTCTCTCCTTAATGAACAGTAAGCAAGGACAGCAGAAAAAGGAGGTCCTGCTTCGAAGACTGGTGGAGCGAGCATGCCTGAAATGGTGTCATAGGATGCTATTTAGGAGGGAAAAAAAAAAGACAAAACTAAAAGGAAAAAAAAAGTACAAGGAGGTATCAAATTTGAGCTTCTGAATTTTAATTAAAACATTAGCAAATGTAGGCAACTGAAACAGCTACTAATGGGGCTCATCACTGAGAGTGGGGATACACAGAACTTTTCAAAGGCAAACCGACTTAGGGTTTGACACACTCCTCAGAAGACCTCCACTGACAGTGTGCAGTTGGTAATTGGTACCAGTTTTAGAGACATTTTAAAGACCTACCCAATTAAGTTTAGATTTTTAATTAAGTCTCTGCTTGGGGTCCGGGTTGGTGGGGAGGTGAGCTGGCTTCCCTAGCGGCTCAGGGGTAAAGAATCCACCTGCCAGTGCAGGAGATGCAGGTTCGATCCCTGGGTCGGGAAGATTCCCCGGAGAAGAAATTGGCAACCCACTGCGGTATTCTTGCTGGGGCAGTTCCATGGAGCCTGGGGGGCGGCAGGCAGTCCACGGGGTCCCAAAGAGCTGGACATGACTGAGCGACTCAATAACTGCTTCCTGGAGGATTTTCTTGCAACAGCATCAACGCTCAGGGCATTAGCTGTTGGCTTTTCAATCTAGTGATAATCTCTTGCCTCAATCCATCTTCATCACACAGGCTTCCAGGAGCTCATCTGACACGCATCCCTAGAGACAACCAGGTTTCTCAACCCCGTTCACCAGATGCAAGTCCCCGAACCCCCAACACTACTGCACTCGTCTGAAATTCTACTTGGAAGAAAGAAAAAGAGAGAGGGGGTCGGAGGCTGGCTAAGGGGAGGGCAAGCAGGAAGTCTTCCTCGGAGGTCCTCTCAGGAGGGGTGAGAGATGAAGCCCAGGTGCCCTAAGACCCCGCAGCGAGCCGTCTCCGACCTTCAAGGCGCTGCCAGAGCAGGGAGTCTTTGAAAGAGGCTAGGGAGGACCCCTGGAAGCCCTTCCGGAACACGGGTTCGGTCCACAGTGACGGAGAAGGACCGGCGCGCTCTCCCGCACGAGGCGCCTCATTTGGTCCTGAGTCCCCGGGAAGGGAAGACGCTGCGCTGCGGGGGAAATCAGGGGACAGCTCCCCTCTCTCGGAAGCTCTCCCCCCGCGCCTGCCGCTTCCACCCGCGGGCAGCCTACCTCACGCCCGGCCTCGAGAGCCCCGCAGAGACGCCCGGCCCCGGGACCACCGGGCGGCCCCTCGGGGTCCCTCGCGTGAGAGCCAGCTCTCCCCGCCCCGCTTCCTCAACCACACCTGACGCCCACAGGACGGGGTTCCCCTTCCCTCCCCTCCCGGCCCCCGGCTCCGCTAACCGCGCCCCCGTCAGGGCAAGAGCCCACAGGACTGGGCTCCCCGCTCCGCTGACCGCACCCCCGTCAGGGCGAGAGCGCGCTCGCCCGCGGCTCTGTGAGGATTCGAACCCTGGGCCTCCGGGATCCCGGCTCGGCGGCGCGACAGCCACGCGACCCGCACTCACCTGGCGCTTGTTCATCTTCCTCAGGTCCCCGAAGATGTCCAAGCCGGACGCGGGGAGATGCGCCCCCACGGTGCTGGCGCGCACCATGCTGGTGTCTCCGGTAGGGTCGGGGGGGCACACCTAGGCAGCCGGCCGGCTACAAGAGTCGCTGACAGCTGAGGAGCGCCGGCCCGGCCCCGCCCACCGGCCTCGCCGGCCCCCCGAGCGGAGGCGCCCTCGGGCGTCTGGGAGTTGTAGTCCAGCGAGTCTCAGTCGCCGATACAGCCAGAGGGAGCCAGCAGGAAGAGAACTACTACTCCCAGAGTTCCGCGCGGCGAGAGCCGCGTCTGGGGTCGACACGGCGCTCCGCGGGCGGGGGGCGAGCGGTCTCAGAGGCCTCGTCCGCCCCTTGCGAGGGAACTGCGGGGGGAGCTTGCGTGTCGCTCGGGCAGCTCGGGGACGGGACTGCTTAAGAGCAACTGAGTTCCACAAGACTCTGGTCAGGCGCCAGGCGGACACCTAAAGCCTGGGCATTCACAGAGCCGTGTATGTAGGCCATTGGATGACAGCGACCACGGAAGGCGGGGCTTTCACAGCGAGGCGGGCAGGACAGGGGCGGGGCCTGTCGGGGGCGGGGCCTGGGAGAGGCGGGCCTTTTGAAGTTCCCAGTCCAGCCCTCTGCAGGACTTGTTCTGTTGAGTTCAGTCGCTCAGTTGTGTCCGACTCTTTGCGACCCTATGGACTGCAGCACGCCAGGCCTCCCTGTCCATCACCAACTCCCAGAGTTTACCCAAACTCATGTCTATTAAGTCGGTGATGCCATCTAACCATTTCATCCTCTGTCATCCCCTTCTCCTCCCACCTTCAATCTTTCGCAGCATCAGGGTCTTTTCAAATGAGTCAAGTTCTTCGCATCAGGTGGCCAAAGTATTGGAGCTTCAGCATCCGTCCTTGCAATGAATATTCAGGACTGATTTCCTTTAGGTTGGACTGGTTCGATCTCCTTGCAGTCCAGGGGACTCTCAAGAGTCTTCTCCAACACCACAGTTCAAAAGCATCAATTCTTTGGCGCTCAGCTTTCTTTGTAGTCCAACTCTCACGGACTAATGTAAACTTAATCAGGTGGTGACTCCAACTGTAGCTGCTATTCCAGATCTTTACCTGAGCAAATCAACAGAGACCCTGGCACTTGGCACGTAGCTATTGACTGAAATGAGTCTTTTTTCCGTACCAATTTGTAAGGACCACCAGAAGCAACTTGCTTTTATCTGGAAAAGCCATCAGTATACCCTCACAGTCTTGCCTTGGAATTATGTCAGTTTGGGAGCTTCCCTGGTGGCTGACACAGTAAAGAATCTGCCTGCAATGCTGGAGACCTGGATTCAGTCCCCGGGTTGGGAAGATCCCCTGGAGAAGGGAAAGGCTCCAGTATTCTCCAGTATTCTTGCCTGGAGAATACCATGGGCAGAGGAGCCTGGTGGGCTACAGTCCATGGGGTCAAGAAGAGTCAGACACGACTGAGCGACTCCCCCGTACACACATCCTACTGCCATAATGTTGTTTCCAGAGATCTTGATCATTAGGACACTCTGAAAAAATATCACATTGTTCCTACATTGATAAAATTACACTGGCTGGAGCTGATGAATATGTAGTAGTAAATACTTTCTTTTTTTTTCTTTTTTTTGACCGAACCACACAGCTTATGGGAACACAGTTCCCTGACCAGGGATTGAACCTGAGCCCCAGGTCACTGCAGTGAAAGCCCAGAATCCTAACCCCTAGGCCACCAGGGGACTCCCAGGAAGTAGCAAGTAGTTTTGATGCTTCAGTCAGAAACATACAAACTAGAGGGAGTGAGAAAAAAGTAAAAATTTCACTTTTGCCATCTTAGTCGTGTTTCTGGAAGTTCAGTAGTCTGGATCGTGTGGAGCGATCCCTTTCAAGGTGAAAGACCAGTTGTGGCACCTCTAAACAACCATCTTGAATAAAGAGAACAACACTGGGAATAAAGAGAACAACAATAAAGAATAGAGAGAACAAGAATGTCTCTTAAATAAAGAGAACGCTGAAGTACTTTCAGAATTTGGAGGCCACTTTGAGTGGTTACACCAGCCCACTTACAAAGTGACCGTAAGCCTGCCAGTTTTAAAGGGAACCATAACAGGGGAAGATTCCGCAGCCAATCCAGATCCAGTGTAAGCTGCTTTACCACTTAGATCGTGTGAGCCTTCAGATACAATAGTAAGGTGGAATAATACAACATCAGAGTGTTGACAGCAAATAAGAATGCTTTTGCAAACTCTAGCAAGCACCAAAAGAGCATCACAGAGCAGGTTTTCAGGCTTTCAGAGTTAATGGATAGCCTCCTCTGCAGATACCTACTCTCCTTTTTTTTCTTTTTGCCATGCCATGTGGCTGGCATGTTCTCCAACCAGGGCTTGAAGCCATGCCTCCACGGTAAAAGTGCCAAGTCCTAACTGATGGACTGCCAGGGATCTCCTATAGATACCTACTCTCCTTTTGAGAAACAACTTCTGTATTGGGCCTTCTTAAAGCCCAACTGTGGTACATCTGTCAACCATGCAGCCCAAATTTTCCATCAGGTACCGGGCATTTTAGGACCCACCTGGCTACAAAGACAGGTATGGACAGGCACAATAAATCCTCTGGAGGAATGGAAACTAACAAGACCAGAGATGTTTTCCTGCCCTGAGCTTGGTGTGTGGTCTTCCCCCAGTCTCTTCTCTTTTGCTAATTTGTTTCCAATTTATGCTGCAATGAGTGTGTGTGTGTGTGTGTATGTGTGTCTTGGTAGTTCTATAAGATAAAATGCCAAGAAATCAATTACTGAGCCAAAAAAGTATGAATCCTTAAACTTTAAATTCACAGACACTGTTGCCACAGTTCTGCCTTTCAAGTAAAATACTCTGTGCACTTCAGGTCTGGGTGATTTCAGAGCCTGAATCACCAGCTATTGACCAGTTGCTCCATTTAGAATCACAACCTCTAATACTTGAAAGGGACTGAGAATCCATCTGGGTCAACTTTCAACCCACAGCAGGCAGCCCCTCTGAAATGCTGGACAACCATCAAGCCTCTAGTGAAACACTGTGCTCCGTCCGTCAGTCGTGTCTGACTCTGTGCGACCCCATAGACTGTAGCCCACCAGGCTCCTTTGTCCGTGGAGTTCTCCAGGCAAGGATACTGGAGCGGGTTGCCATTTCCTCCTCTAGTGGATCTTCCCCACCCGGGGACTGAAGGCTTGTCTCCTGCCTCTCCTGCACTGCAGGTGCATTCTTTACTGCTAAGTCACCTGGGAAGCCCCCTAAATCCTCTAAGTTTGCCAAATCCAAGCACATGCCCTGGATGGCGCAGCCTCTCTGCTCTTCTGCCCTCTGCCTCCCCTCGCCCCCTACCCAGGACTGCAGGAGCAGACCTGGTTCCAGGTGGGAGTTTCAATTCTCAGTTTCTAAGCTCAAGTTGCCTCCTACAGACTGATGGTGTTGCAAACCAACATCATCCCTTCTTCCCTTGGGCTTCGTGGAGAGAGAGAGAGAGAGGACTGACGCTTAAATGAGCACAAACAGGCAGCCTTGGAATCTGCTCAGTCTGGGCAGGAACGCTGGGGGCTGGCAGGGTAGGAATGAGTCCCGCTGTCTCAGACCTGAGTCAGCCAGGTCATCAGCTTTCCGAGCCGTTCCCTGCCTTCGCCGGCTTCCTCACCTGTGGAAGGATGTGTGTCAGCAGGACTGCACTGTGATCCAGGCGTGTCATCATCAGAAGGTGGGAATTTGGGCTGCCTCTTCGTCCTCCTCAATCTCTCTCCCACTCTGATGCCTAATCGCATTTGTCAAAATAAGCCACGTCCTCTTCTCTCTGAGCTCGCTCTCCTGAATGCCTCCAGTTGTTACAACCAGCCCTGAGGAACGTGTGCTAAGAAAGTGTCAGGAATAGTAAGGAGAGGAGGGGGAGGAGGAGGAGAGAGAGAAAGAGAGGGAGGAAAAAGGAAGGAGGCAGGCGGGAGGAAAACGACATTCAGGAACCAAAGGTGCTGTTTCAGTTTGTGTCCCCTGTCATTTGACTGTTGTGAGAAAGAGCAGTTTGGCTTCTAAGTTTACGTATGTGTATGTGTGCTCAGTCACTTCAGTCGCGTCCAACTCTTTGCAGCTTTATGGACTGTAGCCCGCCAGGCCCCTCTGCCCATGGGGTTCTCCAGGCAGGAATACTGGAGTGGGTTGCCATGCCCTCCTCCAGGGGATCTTCCCGACCCAGGGATCAAACCTGTGCCTTCTGCCTCTCCTGCATTGCAGGCAGATTCTTTACCCACTGACCCACTTGGGAAGCCCAAGTTTAAATATATGTTGTACTAAAAAAAAAATGCTGTGAAACTCAATACCTTCTGCAAGAGTTTGGTAGACACGGGAAGCAAGCCTCTGTGATGCTGGGGGCCCTGGAATAAGACTCGGGACTTCTGGGCTGCCCTCCCGGCTGTACCACACTTAGCACTGTCACCAGGAACTGCCCATCTTTCTCCTTGGGACGCAGTATCCTCATCTATACAAACATCGATGTGACCTCTGAGGCCCTGTGGCAAGTATAACCCTCAGAATCATGGCCGCCAGGGAACAAAAGCAAAAATCTACTTTCCCATAACTTAGAAAAGTTATATTAAAGCCCCTTCCGGCCTGGTTTGCAGAAACTGAATGTAGTGACTTTCGGTTTTAAGACTGGGTCAACTTTTTATATTTTTGAGAAACTCTCGCGCCCCTCCCTTTCCTCTCCAGATGGCAGCTGAGGTTCGGGCGGTGCACCCTGAGTTTCAGGGGCTGCTGTCTGCCTCTGCCTCTCTCTCCTGATCCGTCTCACACCCGTTCTAGCATCTTCGGGATCGCCGTCTGTCTCATCTCGTCCTTAGACGCGGCCTCTTCCACTGCGGAGTCGTTGGTTTGTCCGCCCCGCCCCCACTGCAGCGCCCGCGGACCCATCACGGCCTCGGGTCTTCAGATGCAGCGTGCATCGCCCCGGGCCCCAGACGCTGGGGCTTTGGGGCCACCAGCGCGCTGTCTCTCGGTCTTTCCTGCCCAGCTTCCCGGGCGCTCCTGACTCCCACTTGGGTCTGGTGTAGCCGTCGCTCAGTGTCGTGTGGGCCTAGAGGCCCCTGTCTCTGCGCGTTATCCCTCCAC